GAGGAACAAAAAGCATACCTGGGCATTGATTTCTGTGATGGAGGCAGTATTTGAACGATCTGAACTGACCTTCTTGTACCTATCTATAGTTGATCTTATGCTGCTACCAAAAACGAAGAAGTTTCTAAGTTCAAACCACAAAAGAACAGGCCTGAGATGCATGGTTAATTTTTACATCCTCACTGTTTCAAATTCTTCGAAGCGTCATTAGGGTTTCAAACTGATCATCATGAACATATTGATTTGTTTTCACCATGTTAATTCACGTGCATGAAAAACACAACTTGACCTATTGTTAATTTAAAATTGAAAATCAAATCACATGAAAAATAATAATGAAAAGCAGTGCATATATGGAAAGGTTGCTTTACAGGATTTCCTAGTCAACCGACCCAAACCTCGTATATCATTCTACGTGAAGAAGATATAGAAAAGGATCACACAGAAGTGAAACAACAGCTAATGGTATTGTCAACTTTCCAAGACAGCTCAATTCATATGCACAGAGAAACAATATTATTCCATTCCTGTAGTTTCTTGCACCTGACGTGCCAGTTAACTATTGCAAAACCTTGCCTTTGACTTCTTACTCTCTATCACTAAGATGAAGAGACCCTAGCAAAAGCAGTGTTTTTACCTTTCTGCTTCATTTATTACACCCCAACATAAGAAAGGAAAAACAGAAGATAAGCAAGGAGAATACTGAAAGTAAAACATGGGAAACAAGCAAAAGACGTGGAAAGTTTCAAAGCTAAAAATAGAAACAGGAAGACCAAAAAGAGATGGGATCTGCAATCAATGGGAGAGGAAAACGATCAGAGATTTGCTTCAATACTGTGCTGTGAAAAGTAAAGACTGTAATCAATTACACCACTGAAGGAAGAGAAAGGAGTTAGCCGTACGTAAACTGGACGCCAAACCAGTACTGCATTAGTTGGCATCTTTTTCTTAGTTACATGTCCAGTTGTGAGTTTAAAGTAAGAATTTATTTTAGATAGATAGTTCTGTAGCAAGTGAAAGAAGAGTTTAGATGAAGAATGATTTCTCTCTTGTGGTCATTGGAGGGAGGGTTTTAAGTAGCTTGAGAGCCCATAGACTGTAATCAATTACACCACGACTTGTTTTTTGATTTAAGTATTAAGACTTTAGAGGAGTGATCAATGAAGACGCTAAAAGAGATTGAACACAAAGGTTATCATGGGACTGATCAAATTCAGTTCAGGTTTCTTTGTAGGAAAGACAATGGCAAATGTATCTCCCCACGTGCCTTTTCACAAGGACCTAAAAGTGCTCTACTTTCTACTTCGGCCATGGTTCTTTTTTTCTTTTTTTTTTGTTGGTAGAGCATATTCAACCCCCATAATTGAATCTAAGCGAAGAAAGATAGAATGGATCATTAAAGAAACTTTTAAAATATGTCTAGGTTAGTCTTCACTTTGAGCTTTCATTTTTGTTTGTCCTCACTGACTTATTATAAAACCTCTCGTATAGAATGAACAAGAGTCCTGTCAAAAGATAAAAGTCGAAGCTGCTGTCAGTGAAAGCTCAAAGTGGAAACAGAAGGTAATGAAAAACTGAGAACCCATACTAGCAATGGAATGGGAAAGGATCAGGCTTAATCATTCAAAGTTCTGTGTCTGTACTACTATACATTAATTATGGAACCTCTAACAGGGCAGCACCAAAAGGAGAAAAGAGAATCAAGACAATAGAGAGGGCTTGCCTTACAATCCAAGATCTAGATGCATGGGAAGAAGAGTTCTGTTAAGAGATTAGAAAGACGAATATGTTCCTTTCTTCTCATTCCTGGCAAGCCTCATCATGCAGCTGATACTATGCTTTATTATTATTATTGTACTGTATTATGTGTTGTTGTTGATAAATTTGTTATTAACTTTTCTTCAACAAGGTAGCAAATGTTTTAAATGACGTACTAAACATAGTTTTTTCTGTTAAATTACTCTTATAAATTACTAGTTAGCATCTAGTCAATTTATAATTCTCAATAATATAACTATACTAATTGTTCATGGAAGCCCTCATTAAACTTCGAAACCTTAAGACCCTTATTGATCATTTAAATAAGCTGGGTGGATTGAAAAAACATGGCAGATGACTAATAAAAGAGAATACCTGTCATGGACTCAGTCAACTAGCATACTTACATTTGCATAATTTCCAAGATGGAAAGCCTCTATAATGCATCTATATATGCATATCACTATCCTTAGAACATAATGGTCATTATAAATAGTAAAATAGCAGAGGGCAAACCTAAATTTAGGAAGCACCTTTCGTTTGAAAATCATGATTACAGTTTACAAATAGCCAAAATGTTTATTATCACTATATCCCATTTGATAAATTTGAAGGAACATGAGGCGGAGAAAATCATGAAACGAAAGCATGCGCTTAGATAAATCACCAAATTAAATGGAGTAGAAAGAAAGTGATGATGCCACTATTCTACATCTAAGTAACGACGGCCTTAGTTGCTTATATAGCATGAGATTCTTCCTTCCTCAGTATATGTTTTTTAAAGGATAAAATATACTATGTGGTTGAATCCATATTAGCTGAGATAATATCTCTTGGAGGTCTACCGTATTTGACTATGGACATAAATCGTCGATCATGAAGTAATCTATTATTTTTAGATATTTATTTTATATGGTAAATTCTTATTTGATATAATATATAAAAGGTATGGCTTTAATTATACTCTCATTTCTATTAAAAAAAGAAGGGCTTTATACTCATTCCTCTGCTAACCTTTCTGTAAACTCGAGATAATATCAGCATAAAGAAGAAAAGAACATATGAGTTCCAGCCAACTAAGATCTAAGTCAAATGTTCTGATCTGACAAACAACTCCTTGAAAAGCCAAAACTCACGGACTGTTTGCATGATTTGGGATCTACCCTCCTAATATTTCACCCTTCATTGTCTTTCTTCTTCTATAAAAGAAGTAAATGTACGTATATTATTACAAAAGAAACAAGACCTAATGATTTGTGAAAAAAGAAATTAAATCTGAGGATCGGAAAAAGAAAAGAAAAGAGAACAAACCCTATGATATGAAGATTTAGGGAAGGTAAAGTTACTTGTTGTTGGCGTACTCATAGAGACGGCCACGGCTAGAGAAGACGATGAGGGAAACTTCAGCATCACAAAGGACTGATAATTCATAGGCTTTCTTCAACAGCCCATTTCTTCTCTTGCAGAAAGTAACCTGACGATTCGTAGTGTTCTCGATCCTCTTGATCTCAATCTTTCCTCTTCCCATGTCTACACAAAAGATCAATTCTTTCACAACCCAAAGAAGCTTCTATATTATATATGCTCTTATCAAGCAATTTTCTTAACCTAATAGCTAACTTATCTGACTTTTACATTTCATGTCTACCAAAAAAAGCATGGAATAGCTAGGCAATTGCAACAGTTTGAAATAAAAACAAAAGAGAGTGTATTATTCCAGTTTAAGGAAGTGCAAAGCTGTTTCCAAGAATTTCACTTGCATTTTTCCTATGCTAAATATAGTCAAAGATTTTTTTTTTTGGACGACTTAAATCAACGAGTTCACACTACAATATTGTCCCCCAAAACAAAGAAAGAAACTTGATTTTAAGAAAGTGGGGCGAGGAAAAATGTTCAATAAAAATGCAAAGAAGAACTACAAATTAAAGAAAGAAATATCACAAGGATGTGTAAAAATGATTAAGAAAAGGGAACGGGGGGAGAGTTTGAGCAATGCGTTTTAGCTAAAAAGATCTAGGTGCAGAAAGATGTAAACCACTAAGAAATATGAAGTAGTTAGCTAGGCTAACAAGAATCTCCCAAAAAACGAAGAACGAAACTTGATTTCAAGAAGAAGCTATGAGGTGAGAGAAAATGTTTAAGAAAATTGTCGAAAAGAACTACAAAGAAAATATATATATTTATACATTAGAAGCATAAGATGTTTAATGAAGATCTGTGAAGAATGACTAAGAAAGGGGAGGAAATAGAGGCGGGGCCGAGAGATCTCGAGCAAGAGGTTTAGCTTAAAAGATCTAGGTTCAGGGAGACTTAAACCACGATAAGAAATATTAAGAAGGGTAACAAGAAAAGTGGATGCACACCCTATCATCTGATGAAAATCAGAGCAGAATCTTGCATGAGTTAAACAAGATTTAGTTACTAATTATTTTCCTATCCCATTTCTTGTCACTTCTGTTTCTCCTCTCAAGTATTTATCCAGCCATGTTGATGATGACTGTATATGTGGCTGGAGTGAAAATGACATGAATTAATTGCCCCAAAAAACAAAACCTCAAGCGCATCACCTAAGACCGGCTGATCTAGAAGTTGAACTGAAGATAGAGAGCTTCAAAAACACATGGAAAAAACAAAGAAAGAAAC